GGGACGGGGGCCCCTGGTTTCCGAGGAGCCTCCCGTTGCCCTAAGACAGGGCGCAGGGCTCGTCCTCACAGACCTGGAGAGAGTTTCCTGGCCGGAGGCTGGACACAGCTGGGGGGGGGGTAGAGGCCTCCGCAGGTGAGCCCCCAGGATTTTCAGAACATGCCCCACCTGGCTGTCCAGTGTGGGGCCCGACCCCCTTCCCCTGAGACTGTCCAATAAGAAACGACAGCGGCCACACAACAGTAGGCGTCCAGTGCGAATTAATCAAAATGACACTTTTTGTTTTTTTGGTCAGATTGGCAAAAAGTACAATTTATATCTAGGAGTGGCACAGAATTTTAGTAATTAGTTGATGTGCCGCGAGATGGAAAAGGCGGAGCGTCGCTCGCCCGGCCGTTCACCCCACGGCCGAGCCTGTGGGCATCGGGACTGACGCGGGTGCCACGGCCCTGAGAGCGGGACTTGGCACCTCTGGGGCGGTGGCCTGGGTGGTGGCTGCCAGTTCCAGCTGGGATCTCGCTGTGAAAGTGCCTTTATTGAAGTGCAAACACTTCAGATAAGAGCAGCAAACAGGCCCGCGCAGTCCCGCTGGCGGGGAGCGAGTGGGGGGCCGGCCGGGCCTGAGCTCCCTCCCAGGGCGGTTCCGATAAGGGGGGGTCGCGGCTCCGGGGAGAAAACCAGCCCGAGGGGAGCTTCCCAGGTGTCCTCAGAGGATCCGGGAAACTGAGGAGCACACTGAGCGAGTGGGGAGGGGCTCGTTCACACCCACGTCTCCCACCGAGGTGCTCGGGGCTCCAAGTAACTTCATGGTGTTTTCGTTGGTTTTTAATTCCCACCTGAGGATTTTTTTTTTTTTTTTAGAGAGAGAGTGGAAGGGAGGAAGGAGGGTGAGAGAGAGAGAAACATCGATCCGTTGCTTCCCGCACGCACCCCAATTGAAGATTGAACCCCCAAAACCCGGGCATGTGCCCTGACCGGGAATCGAACCTCGATCTCCTGGATCCCAGGTCGACGCTCAACCGCTGAGCGGCGCCGGCCGGGCTTGATTTAAAGCCTTAATCATGCGGCCACCTGGGGCGTGGCCCTGTTTCCACACCTCTTTCCCCGTCTCTGTTTATCTGTCCTGATAAAGGGACCATCTGGAAGCCGCGGGTCACCTGTGCCTCCTGAAGGACGCCTTTGACTTTGACAGCCCGTCGGAGGTGGGGGACCTCATCCGGGCCGAGGGCTTGGAGGCGGCCTTGGCTCTCCATCTCTACCGGGGAGGCCGGCTCTTGCAAGGTAACCCTTCCCCCTGCACGGGGCAGGGCCGGGGGCCCCGAGCGCCCACGTCGCCCGATGAAACGTGGACGGGTGGCTCGTCCTGTTTATCCCAAAGGGAAGGAACCCGGTCACCGTTTGGGGCGCGCTTTCTCTTACTGAGGGGTTCATGCGGAAGCTGCTTTTACTGCATGAGACGTATTATCCTGAATGCTTGGGGTGTATACAGGGTGTCCCCCCAAAATGGACACACGCACTTTGAATAATTGATAAAGGACAGTGTTTATTAAATAGACATTTCATTTTCAGAATGGAGCCATCAGCGGTTACAGTGTGTATGCATTTGGGGGGGACACCCCATATTTCCTCACTTAGAGCGTCGTTTTCAGAAGCTAGAAATAGGGCCCTTTTACAAGACGTAGGACGGGCACCTAGGAGAGGTTTCGTTCAACTCACTTATGGACGGTTCCCTCACCAGACGGAGAAAAGAGAGAATCTGCTAATTTGCAGATTGACGAAAATAACTGAAAGGGCAACACAAGGGAAGACTGGTCTCTTTTTACTTAAATATTGACTCTGTAGATTGTGGAAACCCCAGTAGGAATTCAAGTTCGATCTGGCCTTGGTCTGTTTTGAAATTCTTAGCTGACCTTCAGAAGTCCTTGAGGAGGGTCTCTCGACGGGCCGCCCACTTAACGTGGTCTGTGGGGGGTGTGGTGTCCGTGAGGAGTCACGGCAGGGCTCAGTCTGAAGCTCTTTTTCCCCGTCATGAACCCCGATAGCCCCAGATTAGCCCATTTCCTAGGAGGGATAAGCTCGGCCTGATAAGCTGCTCCTGTGTCCCAATGTAATGAAAATTCATTTCCGACGGCCCTGAGCACGGTGGCGGGCGTCCCGCCGGGTTAGTTACTGGCACGTGGCGTTTATCCCTCTGACCTGCCCCCCGCCGAGGGGCCCTGGATAAAACTAAACCCAGGGACTTCGGGTTCCCGGGTCCTTGCTCCTGGCGCCGGGCTCCGCCTCGCTCACCGACCTTGTTCGGCAGGTCACGGGATCCCCTTCGGAATCATCTTCGGTGGAACGGACTTAAATGAAGACTTGCGCCAGGGAGACAAGCGCCGAGTGATGGGGAAGGTCCTCCAGGAAGCCCGGTGCGTCCACCCCGGGGGCTCGTGGAGGCCCGAAGGCCGGGGCAGCCCACAGCCTGGGAGGTTCCCTCTTTCCCTACAAAACCAACCTCTTTTATTTATTATTATTATTTTTTGGTTAATCCTCACTGGAAGGTATTTCTTCCAATTGATTTTTAGAGAGAGTGGAGGGGGGGGAGAGAGACACTGACGTGAGAGACACACGTGGACTGGTTGCCTCCTGCACACGCCCCGGCCAGGGCCGGGCGTGGAGCCTGCAACCCAGGCACATGCCCTTGACCGGGAATCGAACCCTGAGCCTTCGGCTGCCGGCCGAGGCTCTAGCCCCGGAGCGCACCAGCCAGGGCGTCATCTTCGTTGTCGTCACGAGCACTACCGGTCGCCCTGTTACTGAAACGCGCGCCGGTCCCCTGGGGACCGACTGGGGCCGGTGGGCGGGGAGGCGGCGGAGCCCCGGGCTTCCTGTCTGACACCGTGGGGCTCACTTTTCTATCAGCATCAGACGCGTCTCTCTTTTAGAACGAGAGTTTCATTTTTTAACCAAAGACTTAAAAGAGTTATAGTCCCCTATCAGGTGTATTTTAGAACTTTTTTTGTATTTTAAGCTTTTTTCCCCTATATAGTATAATATTCAAATGTCTTCTAGAACTGGGTGTTTGTCTTGCAAGTATCATAACTTAGTGAGCACTCGGTAATTATAGTACAAACGCCAAAATTAACTTTGTGAAGGACCCTGTCAGAAAAGCTGAACCTTGCCAAGCGAGTGAGCAGAAGACAGTTTTGGGACCTAAAGCGGCTCAGAAATAGCCCCACAGGGAGGACGTTCACAGCAGGGGGCGGGGACACCGCGCCTGTTTCCTGCCCCGTGGGCCAGCACCGGCTGCCTGCGGGTAGGTGCCTGTGGTTTTGAGCCCCGGGGTTTCTAAACGCGTTTCCTACAGAGACACCACCTGTCAGAGCGACCGCGGCCCCGGCTTCCCCCCTGCGCCGGCTCCCAGCCGTGTCCCGCTCCTCGGGCCCTGCACGGGGGCAGCGGGACACACAGGGCGCCCGGGGCTTCCTGCGTTCACTCTGCGGGCGGACCAGTTTCTCCGATGCGAGCGGAGATGAAAGCTGGCGGCTGGTGACCACGAGTAAGAAAGATGGCTGTGCCGTGGCCCGTGTGGCCCGTGTGGCCCCGTGGTTAGAGCGTCCGCCTGCGCACCGAAGGGTCTCGGGTGTGATTCCCGGTCAAGGGCACGGGCCTGGGTCGCAGGTTCGATCCCCGGCCCCGGTCGGGGCTCGTGTGGGACGCAGCCCATCAACGTGTCTCTCTCACGTGGACATTTCTCTCTCTTTCCTCACCCTCCCTCCCTTCCTCTCTCTCTAAAAATCAGTGGAAAAAATATCCTCGGGTGAGAATTAACAACACCCACTATGAAAGACGGCTTGCAGGTCGGGCCACGCGTCCTGCGCCCTCCCTCGCAATCCGACGCCAAGAGCAGCCCCCGGGGATGTTAACCGACTCGCCCTGAGGGCCCCGCTCTTTCTTCCTGTTCCTTCCCCAGGTTCGCGGTCGCTTTCACGGAGTCCATGGAGGCCGCCGCCCGCCTGCAGTGGGTACGTGTCTGCGCGTCTGTGACGGCCGCGGTGCCGGGGAAGGTGCAGAATCAGGACGGGAGGGCGACTTGCTGGGAGCGAGGGGCATCCTGTCCACACGGCCTGTTGGAGCCCCCGCCGTGGGCTCTGTTCCCCGCGTCTTTTATTGGTGCTGCTGCTCTTAAAACTCCACTAGTTTTTTTGGTTTTTTGTGTGCTTTTTAAATATGTTTTTATTGATTTCAGAGAGAGGGAGAGATAGAAACATCAATGATGAGAGTCATTGATCGGCCGCCTCCTGCGCGCCCCCGACTGGGGATCGAGCCCACAACCCGGGCCTGTGCCCCGGCCGGGAATCGAACCCCGATCTCCTGGATCCCAGGTCGATGCTCAGCCGCTGAGCCACGCCGGCCGGGCTCCACTGGTTTTTTACGTGGCTGTGAAACAGCAGGACGGCTCTTTGCCCCGTCCGTTTTCTCGTTCGAGCTCAGGCGGGCGGCCCGCAGGCTGCGGGAGAAGCGCCGCAGGGACCGTCTGTGGGGACGGGTCTGGTGGGGCAGGTGGGCGCTTCCTCGCCCAGACGCCCCCCAGGCGGGGAACCGAGGTTTCCTTTCTCGGCCCCGTGTCACGGCCTGGACCTCGGAATAAAGAAGCCCGCCTCGGGTTTGAGCTCCAGGGACTTTTCTGACGCAGCGACTATAGTAAGACGCCAAACTCACATTCCGCCTAATTTCAGGGACTTCCCGGCGCCCCCGCCTGGCACGCTGCGCTCCCCGCGGGCTGACCTGCACCCACCCGGGGTGGCCCTCGGCTCCCGGAGGGGAACCGGTCCCCGCGGCTGCATGGGCGACGCTTTGCGGTGTTTTCCAAGGGATTTTTTTTTTTTTTTACAGCCTTCCTCTTATTTCAGAAAAGCACCTGTAACGAATTATCCAATTTTTTCTCTTTCTTCCTTCCCTCTTTCCAAAAGCCGCACGCGCAGGGTAAGATCCACGTCCAGAGTCAAGGTAAGAACTTTTAAACAGATTTGAAACATAAAAGTAAAAAATGAAAAATCTGCACGTATCTTTTAGAGGCAGGTAGCGACATGGCTGTGGACGCACTCACACGATAGCGGAGGTTTACTTAGAAACAGCCCGTAGAGTGGGAACACTGCTTCCCGACATTGAGCTGCAAGGCAGATCCGAGGAGACCGTAGAACGGCCGTTTAAAGGGCAGAACACGTAGCATCTCGGCTGGCGGAGGCGCGATAGGCACATAACGCAAGAATGTTCTAAACGGGGTGAAGGCTGAGCCCCTCTGTGTAAGTCGAGTGAGCTGGGGGCCTGGATGGTCCTGTCCTTTCCTGAAACCCTCGGTCGCCTTGGCACAGCTGGCACAGCTGGCACAGCTGTCGGGCAGCCAGAGTCAGGGGCAGGGCGGGCCCAGAGGCGGACAGAGAACTGACCGCACGGGGCTAGGCGGGTAGGCGGGTAGGCGGGGCTCAGGCCCAGGTCACAGGTCCCAGCCCCGGGAGGAGGTGTCCGCGATGCCCAGCGCCAGGCGCTTGGCCCCCTGCGCCCCCCTCCAGGGCGCACGGAATGGTCGCCAAAGAAACGCTCCCCGGGTTTCACCCGCAGCGGCCCAGTCACGCTCCGGTAAACCGGGTCTCAGATNGCTCAGGTAAACCGGGTCTCAGAGACCTGGCTTGAGAAGGCCGGTGCCTCCCAACCACGGGTGTGCGTGGCCAGCCCCGCCCGGCCCCCGCAGGGGAAACCCACGCGGTTAGAACACACCGTGGGCCCCGCTAAGCCCTCTGAACCTCAGTTTCCAACAGAGAAACCGGGAGGCAGTCGGCTCCCCAGGTTGTAGACTCTGCAGGGTCCCGGGGAGCCCACAGCGCCCAGGGCGGGCGTGGGGCGGGCACGGGAATTAGCCCAGGGGGTGCCCTGCAGACGACTTACGTTACATTTCGTGAGATGTCCGGGTGTTTCTGCTCTCGGGACAACCTGATGGTCGGTAACTGAAATAAGTCAGGCAGAGAAAGGCAGATGCCCTGTGACTCCGATTATAGGCGGAATCTAATGAGCAAAATAGAAACAGAGTCGCAGACGCAGAGAAGGGGCGGGAGGCGGCCAGAGGGGAGGGGCTTGGGGGGCTGGTGAGAAAGGCGAAGGGATTGGGGCACAAAGTAGTCGGGGGTGCGAAGTGCGCACAGGGGACACAGTCGATAACATCGTGACAAGTGTGCGTGGCGCCCGGCGGGTCCTGGAAATGTCGGGGGGACACTTGTAAGGATGGGATTGTCTAACCCTGTGCCGTAACCTGAAGCTCATGCCGAATGATACAGGATATAACCTGTAATTGCTAAGATTTTAAAAAAACATAGTCTGGTCAATGTTGCCACTGGGTTTTGTGTGTCTTAAAAAGTCCAGTTTTTCGGAGAATTCTGCTCTCGGGCCTGCGTGAGGGGTGACCCCGCTCGGTCTGGGAAAGGCTGAGATTAGGGACTTTAAGTGACGGCACAGTTTCCACCTGGGACTCTGCGGTTTAGTTGCTTTAGAAACCTGTCACCCGCAGGCATCTGTAAGGGACCAGCTTTCTGTGGCCCAGTGGCCACGAGGCCCACACGTGGACGGTGGGTTTTTCTCGCTGGGGACCCAGGCTCTCCGTTTGCACCTCGAGTGCGGGGCCGCTGACGGGAGTTCACGAAGCACCCGGGACTCCGGCGGCCTCAACAGGACCACGTGCGGCCAGCATTTAAATGTTAGCGCAGCGCAGCTGGTTGGGTCTCGGCCACGGTTCCCAGCCACGTGAACGTTCCCACGTCTCTTTCCCCAGGAATCACGACAGCCCCGAACCCCGCCTTTCGCTGGAGCACCTTCCTCCAGAGAGCAGGTGAGACGGGGAGCCGAAGGGTTTGGGGCAGATGAATCCCGTCCACGCGCCTCGGTGACCCGCTGCGTCCTCGTGGTTTTGGGAAAGAGGCCGTCGGGTCCAAGACAGTCACTGGTCTGGGAGGGACGGGATGGACAGGGATGGAAGCAGGGCGGGGTGAGGTGCACAGGCCGGTTCCTCCCGATCTTGGTGATGCCACCAGAGCCTCCACCCCGTGGGGAGCAGACACGGGCACCCCAGCCCGCTCTCCAAAACCTTCAAACCAGACCTCCCCCACGCTGTGTCAGCGCCGGGTTTCCTCGAAAAGAAAAAAAACGAGCAGCGTTTTATTAGAAACAACTCCCCGAGTGCCCGCGTCCATCCCAGCGGGAGAGCAAACTGTCCTCGGCATCCAGAGGAGCCGGGCGTCGGCCCCTCTGTCTCGTCGGCGGCGTGCGCCATCCTCAGCCCCTGCGCCAGCTGCAGCGGCCCCGTGCGCTGTTGTTCCATCTTCCGAGTGTCACAGGACACGTTGCGGTGGGGCTGGGATTCATCACGTCCCGAGCACGGGGATTCGTCATCGAGGGCGTCGCTTCGAGGGTCTTGTCACTGAGCCATTCACGGAACAGCCCTGAGATTTAAAATACTCCTCAGGAGACGTTTCCCCCCCGGGACCTGCTTGGCCGCCCTTTCAGCGCAATGTGTGCGATTGAATACTGTGCGCGTGTGCGGGATGGACGGGAGGCGCTGTGGCCGGGGTCGCCCGCCTGGCTAGAGGGTGGCCCGAGGGTTTATGAGATGCGTCTCTGGGGTTTATGACCCGGCGTCGGCCCTCGTGCGTAGTTGCCCAGAGATGGACCGGCCGCCCCCGTCGCCCGCCCTCGGGCCGCCCCGGCCTCCCCAGGCCTCGAAGCTGGCGGTTGCCGTCTGTCGTCCACTGCGAGCTGCAGGCGGTGACAAGGTTCCCTGCACCCTTGTCTTGCAGACATTAACCAAAGCGCCGACAACTTGCACGTGTTTCTCCTGATCTGCGGGCTCAGGCCAGTCAAAGACCCTCTCTACCTGGTGGACGCCTTCTCGGGTGCGTCGGCCGAGGCGCCTGTTTGCGGGATCCTGGGCGGGTTTCGGGTTTTACCTCCTTGCTCTCCAGGCTGTTACCGTGGAAAGACCGGGAACACGAGCACCAGCAGTCACTGCGGTTCCCGTGCCCCCGGCTTCCCCGGGAAGCCTAAAAAGTAGCCGGTAGTTAGGAGGCTAAACTAATTTTACCCAAGAAGGCTCCGCGCAGGCCAGCGTGTGCGCTGCGCTTGGACTGGGGCTGCTCGTGATGACCCGTGTGCTCGTGGGCGGGTGGTGGAGTTTCAGCGGCGTATTGCTTCCGGTCACCTAATTAATTAGATACCTGGATAAAGCATAATTACAACAATATATACCGAAAGGCCAAAAATGTCAACTATTTACATTATAAATACATCTCATTTAAACGGACTAATGTGAGTGAAGGCAAAATATGAAATAATGTATTTTATGGTGTAAGTAATATTAAGTCTGTGTTTTCAGCTGGGACTTGCAACCATTGTAACAGTGTTTTTTCCCCTTTTTTTCTCCCCAAGAATGGCACCAAGAGGAGCCCAGTGTCTACCTGGCGATCGTAGGTCCTGAAGTAAGTTGACCCCATGTCTGTTGTCCTGTGTTCTCTGCGCATCTTCTGAAATTAGTTCGCGTTGCTCTTCTAACCGCGTTGTCTTGTGGTGTAACACACACTCGGACACACACAGGCGGGGCTTCTGGAAAGCAGGGGATCCCGGCGCGATGAACCAGGGGGCTGTGTCCTGTGCGTTCCGCGGGCCGGGCCGGGCGGCGCGTGAATGAGAGTGGACGTCGGGCNGGGCTTCTGGAAAGCAGGGGATCCCGGCGCGATGAACCAGGGGGCTGTGTCCTGTGCGTTCCGCGGGCCGGGCCGGGCTCGCGTCCCCAGCGCCCACTGGCGGCGCGTGAATGAGAGTGGACGTCGGGCCCGCCCTCCCGCCGCCTCCGGAGTAACAATGTAGCAGCGGGAGGCTGTTAGCCAGACACGGTTCACAATGTTTCAAGCGATGTGTTACACACGTGTAAATTTGGAAACATTGTGTCAGTTCTGTTTAAATCATTCATTGTTGTTAACACCAGGGGGGCTCACGCAGGGCGAAACCTGCCTCTTCGTCGCTTTTGTTGGAGTCTCTGTGGTCAGGCAGTTGGGTGCAGGGTCCCCCGGTCCCCGGGCTGTGAAGGCTCCTGTTTCAGGCCTGGACTTGGGTGGAGCTGGCGGCGCCTGGGCCGCACCAGGCCCTGGTCTTAGGGACTGGACAGCACACAGGAGGGTGTGTTTCTCTGGACCGTCTCTCAGGTCCCCGCTCTTTCTTGCTATTAGGATGGAGTAGCTGGAGCCGGCTGTGCTTTCCTACCCGCTTTGTTTTCCTTTGTAAACCGTGAGTGTGGCTCCGAGGCCACGACGTGCGGGCCTCCTGCACGCAGGCTCCGCTCCGGCTTTCCCTGACGTCTGTCTCGGTCTCTTCGCAGGTGGATCCGGTGTTCACAAGGGAAGTAAAGGCCAAGGTGGAGAGGTGAGTGGGGGAAGGGAGCGGGTGTTCAGCGGGAGAGGAAACCCAGCGGCCAGTACATTGTCCTGGTTCCCACGTCTGTAGGGCAGCGTCGCCTCTTGTCCCCCAGCCCCTCCCGTCAGACCCCCAACATGCTTCCCACTCGCGTTGCCTCTTGTAGGTCCCCAGGGGTGCGGCTGGTCCCCGAGATGCGCCAGGGGGACCTCCACGCCGTCATGAAGAACTGCTTCGCCCTGGTGAACAGCTCCGTCTCCGAGGGCATGTCAGCCGCGATCCTGGAGGTAACGGTCTCCCCGGGGCCACGCGGGTGCGGCGAGGAGACTAACTGCCCAGCCTTCTCTCCCTATTGACGGACGTGGCATCTTCCTCAATAAACCCTGCACCTTTCAAAGCTCGAAAAAAGCAAAATAGCGTTTCCTTGGGGGCTCAGCTCGGACGACACCGATAGAATTAACTGGTGCACAGATGCTCCGGGGTCTTCGAGCTTCGAGTGTTCAAGGAGCGCTCACTCCGTGCCACACGCCGCTCTTACCGTCTCCCGCCCGTCTCCTCTCCACCCGCAGGCGATGGACCTGGAGGTGCCGGTGCTGGCCAGGAACATCCCGGGGAACACCGCCGTGGTCCGGCACGGAGTCACCGGGCTGCTCTTCTCCGACCCGCAGGTAACAGAAGCCCCTCCCCAGGTTGTACATGTGGGGCTGTTCATCACAGATTTCATCCTAGTATCGCATTTCTTACCCCATCCCCAAGTTCGTATTAACTGCCATCCCTCCTGAAGGCCATCCTCTCCAGAGGAAGGGGAGGTGGGCACCGAGGGACCGGGAGCTGAAGCAGCCAAGGCTCTTTGGTGCCCTGCAGCCCCCTTCCCCAGGTACCCACACCCGCT